GGTCGGGGGGGGGGGGACGCCGCAGAGGATCACATCGCGGCGGCTGGTACCACGATGGAGCACTTGTTAAACATCCCTGAGGTTTCCATGATGGCGACGACGATGCAATCACCGCGAACCGCCACGGCTCCGGCCGGTGGGACCGGCGTTACCCCAGGCTCGAGCTGTCTCTTCAGCTTCTCCGACAGCATCTTCGGCAATTTATCAACCGAGCCGATGTTCGACAATCTAGACACCGCTCAGCTACTCAAAGACTTTGATGATGGGTGGGTGAATTAATTCAGAGGACGTGGAACTGTGCGTGCGGATGGCATCGCTTTCGACAGGTTCCCTCTCTCTCTCTCTCTTTCTCGGAAAAAAAAATAGGGAGTACCCATTTTTTCAAAGTAGGGCGCGTATACGTATTTCTACATGTTTAAAAGGTTTGTGGGGGCGAGGTAGCGTTCACTTGGGTAGGTGTGCGACTAGGGGGAGGGTCGCATTTAGAAGAAAGGATAAACAACACCTACCACGGGGTACAGTTTTGTGGTACTGGGCATTTCCCCTTTGTGCTGTCCGTTTTGTTAAATAATATCGAGTCACAGTGCCGGGTCGTAGCATTTAGAGGAGCACTGTGATGAGGTGTGACGTACGAGAGAGGGCTAAGCTCCATTTGGTTCCTGTTTTCTATAGGATGATAGAATGCAAGCGGTAACTCTTTTTATATATTTAGTTTCCTTTTTAGGCTTCTTTACATTTTCAGTTTTTGAGTTGTGTAGGTGATCAGGTGATTAAGCTTTTTTTTTGTATTCAATTCATGCGAAAATTCAGCCCTTCCCCTTCCCCTTCCCCCCTCTCCACCTCCCCTTTCCACGTACACCTCCCTCTTGCATGCCCTGCTTTGAGTTATCATTTTCAGTGTTTTTCTTTAATTTTCTGACAACTACGAGTGCCGCATTGGGTTGTGAATGCACCGGATCGTATTAGGCTAGTATATCAAGACGCGGAGGAAGGGTGAATTTGTGGGAATGGCGGCAATTTCATCAAATAAGGAGAATAAATGGTAAATCACGGTGACTTTATTCGCTAGCCTATTTTTCCCTTTTCCGTTATACCAATATGAAAATTAGATTTTTATTACTTGCCTTTCTCTCGACTCCTAAGATAAATATGATTGGATCGATAAGACATTCTAGGCCAGGAAAACGAAGAGAAAGGTAGAGTTGGTTATCCATACCTGCTGATAGGTTGTTCATTTGAGAGATCTTTGACCTGTATATTCTTTTTGATTTTTTTCCTGTTGCTGCACGAATTATTAGTGGTGCTTCCACAGATTCCTTTTTGCGTAGCCTAGGATGCAAGGTTTCACTGATTTAAGACTTGAGAATTTAATTTAATTTAATATTTTCCGATTGAAAAATAAGATACAGGATACATACATCCATACAAACACACATATATATATATATATATATATATATATGCATATGTATGTTTATGGATGCATACGTTAGGATATTATTGTAGACGGTGAGTGTGCGTGCGTGTCGCACTATGCGTATGTTGTGAAATGGATGACAAATTACACAATCAAGCGCAACCATTTCGATCAAGAGAGTTTTCAATTTTACATGTTTGGGACGCAACTCTCTTTCTGTGAGTACTGAAGCCTCTTTTCTTCTTCCCATTCTCTACATATGCATATAATTGTGTGGATCGGTGAAAATGGTTCTTTTGCGTAACATTTTGACGTTCGTTTTCCTCATATTTTTTTTTTTCGTTTCGAGAATACCGCCACATTTTTTTTTGTTCATTTTTCAACGGTTTCCAAATATTTTGAAAAAAAGCCCTGTACCTTCTTCCTGTGAAAACGGCAGAAAACGAAAGTGTGCTCTACTTCTACAAATCGGTCATTTTGTAAATTAAGTACGAGTATATATCTAAAGTGATGTCGTACACTGCTACCCACAGCAATGGCGATACGTACCGTGGGCGGGACAGCTACTCTCGGCGAAATGGGGATGGCCACTACCACCATCGCACGGATCGAATGGGGGGCCTCGGTGCCAACCTACACTCGATTGACTGGAATGCAGTGCAACAGGTGGCATCGCAGTGGAATTTCTACAAGCCGCAGCTCCAGCGCAGCGAGTCCGAGATCGCCGAGTGGCTTCAAAAGCATCACATCACTATCTACGGGGAGCGCGTGCCGCAGCCGATGTTAGAATTCTCGGACCTGGTCGCGCCCGATGCGATTCACCAGGGCTTCCACGACGCCGCCTTCACGGCACCGACGCCGATCCAGTCCATCGCGTGGCCGATTCTGCTGAACTCGCGGGATATCGTCGGGGTGGCGCGGACGGGATCGGGAAAGACGCTCGCGTTTATGATTCCAGCCGCCCTACACATCATGGCGCAGCCCCCACTTCACCCTGGCGACGGCCCCATCGTTCTTGTCCTGGCGCCAACCCGTGAGCTGGCGATGCAGATCGAGATGGAGAGCAAGAAGGCCCTCGCGCGGATCCCAAGTTTACTCTCGACGTGCATCTACGGCGGGACGCCGAAAGGGCCGCAGCTGCACGCGCTGCGTGCGGGTGTCCACATTTGCATCGCCACCCCCGGTCGTCTCATCGACATGCTGGAGATGCGCGCGACGAACCTCCTGCGGGTTACCTACCTGGTTCTCGATGAGGCGGACCGGATGCTGGATATGGGATTTGAGGACCAGGTTCGCAAGATTTGCAGTCAAATCCGGACGGACCGACAGACCCTCATGTTCTCGGCGACGTGGCCGGTCGAGATTCGTAACCTAGCGGCCACCTTTCAGCGCGACTTTATCCGTGTGCATGTCGGCTCCGAGGAGCTCACGGCAAACAAGGATGTGCGTCAGCACGTGATGTTGGTGGAGCCCATGTACAAGGAGCAGAAGCTGGTAGAGGTGCTCCAGCAGGTGGGCCCGCGGCGGGTGTTGGTGTTTGTCAAGACGAAACGCACCGCCGACGCGCTTTATTCGAGGCTAAAACACGCCCTACGCCGCACTGTGCTCGTCATTCATGGGGATAAGGAGCAATCCAGCCGAGACTACGTGCTCCAGCGATTTCGCTCGGACGAAACGGCGATCATGGTGGCGACCGACGTCGCGGCTCGAGGACTGGACATCAAGGACTTGGATGTAGTGGTGAACGTCGATTTGCCGACCGGGATTGAGGATTATGTGCATCGTATTGGTATGTTAGGGCGTTCCAAAGCGCTTCTTGTTTGTCTTCTTCTCTGGCGTGTACGTGTGTGGGGGGTGAGAGCCACTCCGGCGTACACGACAGATAAGTGAGTGAGCTTGTTTTTTCCTTCGATTCCCCTCCCTTTTTGTTTGTTTTTGTTCCCTCCCCCCCTCCCCCCCTCCCCCCCTCCCCCCTTCTGCCCCTCCTTCCTATTGCTTAGCCCTCGTTATATTTAATAATTGTGTGTGAGTAGTGGTGCAAACCGGTTTAGGATTCAGACCCGTGGGGCTTTTACATACGTTCACGCAGTCGGGCAGTATTGTTAGGTCAAGATGAAAAGATGGACGGTCAAGGATAATATTCCTAAAGACTAGCTTCCAGGATTCCTCACAAATGAGAGTCTACGCTATTTTTTTCTTTCCAAAGGGTTTTCACTACACTGCTTTTCAGCTTTGCGAAGACTTTCTTTGCTCTGCTATCTCCCACTCTATCCTTAGTGCGATATTTTTCATAGGGTTTTATTTTATTACGACATTGTATCCTCCTCTGCCAAGTGGAAGAAATATACATTGATTGTTTCCCACATATCTTCCTTTTTTTTTGGTTAGCTTGAATTTTCCTTTTCCCGTTAATTATTCCATCTAGTTTAACAAAATCAACGAAAGAGGTTCGCATAGTGATTATCTTGCTATTATATATTATTACCACCCCTTAATTCATACGCAAACTTCCTTCAGATTCATTTAAACCTATGACTATTGGTAAGAGTGCAATCACATTTGCACACGTTTTTTTTTTCTGCGAAGAGGTGGCTTGCGAGGATATAACTTCTAGGTTTCTTCATCTTCAAAATTATTCGCTGTCGGCACCCCGTGCCTATTCAGAATAAGACACCGGGTCAAGTCAAACATAATAAAGGAATCTCATTCCCATAGATGAAGAATCGTAGGAGGTAATACAGCATGGTCACCTAATCATTGATCAGAGAATGATGCACCATTTGATATCACACTTGAGTTAACAGAGTCCTTTTCTTGTACGCTCTCACACACGTATTCTCTAGGTTTCGTTTTTTCTTTTCCTTTTGGAGGGCACCTCAAACGGTGACTTCATTTTTTATTTTTTATCATTTATTTTTTGATGTCGATGAAGTTGAAAAAAATTCTCTTTCTTCCCGCTCTTTCCATTCTTGTTTTTTTTTTCCGATCCGTGTTTCCGTCTTTGCTCGCTGTGGCGGGGCTGTATATATATACGAAATGTCTATCTCTTTCCCCCCTGACATGTGATATATTCACACAAACACACAAATTGTTCTGTAACTTATTTCTACTTGCGTCATAAATGCTGGGTATGAATGTTTATGATGATATACATTCTTCATACCCGTTAACGTTTTTCGATTCGCAAAACAAACGGGTAAAATTTCAATTGAAAAAATGACAACGGTTTCGGTATCATTTCGTGACTGAAACGCGAAAACGGTACCATTTCAATTCTCTACGTTTATACTATGTGTGTGTGGGGGGGGAATTATATATAATGGACATACGTTATCTTATCATACAACCCATATTAACACGGAATATCCTCCTCTCCCCTCCCAAACAAAAAAAACTAAACACGATTATTCACTTCAATAGGTCGTACTGGTAGGGCTGGAAAGACAGGTGATGCGTACACATTTGTGTGCCGCGAGGATCCAAGCAAGACGATCCGCGACCTCATCGACGTGCTCGCGCGCGCGCAGGGCGTCGTACCGCCGGAGCTCTTCACGTTGACGTCGTGTGGTTCGTACGGCGGTGGGAGGGCGCGAGGTCGAGGACGCGCGGGTGCCTTCCGCCAGAGGTACGCTACGCCGTACAGGCAGCAATCGAACTACAACAGTGGTGGGGGTATGGGCGCGAGGCCCCCCCCTCCACCCCCTGCACACGAAAGCTTTAGTCCGTTTTGAGGGGTGCTTTTCCTCTACTACCTTCATTTAAGGTTTTCTTTTTTTTTAAAAAAGAAAGGGGTGTGTGCTATACTCTCCCCCCCCCTCCCCTCCCCCTTCTCCTTTCCTTCTCTCTTCCTCCTCCTCCTCCCCCTTCGCGGGGTCGGAGCTTTTTAGATACCTTAGATATTAGGATACATTAACTCAAGGGAAGTGGGTTTGCCACAAACAAATATGCTAAAATATATGCCTAACTATATTTAGGTAAATCACTTGTGAATGTGGTTTCATGTGTTCCTCATGTTTGAGATAAAAGCGGCTGTGTACCTCTTCCATGGAGGGGGGGACGATTCGTTCCTATAAGGGAGATGTTTCGTTCGGAATCGTAAAAGTGAATCCTGAAGTATGTTATTAAACCTTTTGCCGCCTTCTTGTTTGAAAGATGCGCTTTCTCTCCTCAGGGATGACTAAGCACTTTGCCTAAAAACCATTGTAGGCAAATACATAAGATAAAATTTTGATAAATTGTGTACCCTAAGTGTGGCTGTGGAAATGTTAAGCCAATTAAATATAGCTCGAGGAGAAATATATGCGACTCCACTGGACTGCACAATAATTACAACAGGATGTGATACTATGACAACAACTGTGGGGAAAAGGAGAAGGTATTGGGTTCTTTTTAACCTAGTTCACTTCTTGGAATTTGCGTTTAATGTGATTATACGCTTAAGTGCTACGACTGAATATTTAAATAGTGCTCCTGGCTTATATATGTATGTTTGTATGATATTAAACAAAGTGGAGTATGCAAGTGCAGGATATAAATGAATATAACTTTACCTCTTAAAACGAAGACACTATGGTAGATTCACTGCATCATGATGGATACAGGCTTAGAAAGTGCATGAACTCAGGGGGCAAATGGCTCCCCACAGTGCATCCGCCTGCGCGTATTGTTATCTTCTTTGGTTGCCACGTTTCCATTTTTATCTACAATTGCTTTTATGATCGTCGACAATTTCTTTTGGATTATCGGTACACATTAACGATAGTACGATTTTTATTCTGGCATATATGCATAGGGGTGGGCGGGTTTTGTAGGGCGGCTTGGTCACGCGCATCCATTAGGAATCGGTGTTACAAAAACGCACAGGTGAGATTGTGTTTCGGTCGTGGGAAATAGAATAGGGTACCGGTGGCCAGTAGACTTCGCTTTTTCCAATATTTCTTGTCAAACCCGTTCTTTTTTCCTTTTGTCGCCCTTTCGCTTCCCACCCTCCATATCGGTCGCCTCATCTTTTGACCAAGATAGAGGTATCCGGTATTCACATGAATTGGGCATGCTCCCAGGGGCGGACGTCAAATTCCTTCGTCGCCGAGTGATCGGTGTGGGGTTTGGGCGTCTGGACGTCCCAGGGCCCCGCAGGGGGTGATCTGCTTTCGCTCCCACCACGCCGACGTGGGGGCCCCCTCCTCCTCGACGCCTTCCACAACTCCTGAGGTGGCCGGCATGGAGGTCATCTTCGAGTCTGTTCGCGTGGTTGGTGGAATTCTGGAGGGTCCTTACCTCATTGACCAGGGGCCGCGGTGGTATGGTGACGAAAGCACATCCGACGGTGGTGTGCAGGAACACCGATGCCCTCGGTGGGGATCGCCTCCCTCCGACAGCGCTACGCGCGTGGGTGTGTAAATAAATCTGTCCATGAATACAAATAGTCATCAAGGAGTCCAAGACTCTGAGTACTGCATCTAGGAATGTGGGGTGGTTTCTGAACGGGAGAGGAGCTTGTGGATGAGTTCATGACTTTATGGGTGGCTGTATGGGAGGGGTTGTGTGAGATGCCCCTTGAGAAGGTTGCTTGTACATATGGAGTTGCTCATTAAGGATCATTTCCTTTTCATCATATATATATATGTATATATATATATATATATATATGAATGGCTATATGTAGTGTTGCCCCCTGAAGCTTACGACCTGTTAGGAGGCAAGGAGGGGTTAGTAAAGAGAAGATCAATATTGAGGGAAATTCTGAAGCCACGCTTCCTTTTTTACATCTTTGAATGGCGGTTATTCTCTTTAGTAAGTGTACCCACTGGTGTTTTAAGGATGGCTTGCCTTATGGAAACCACCCACGAGGAGAATAAAACATGACGAACACACTACTACAGGGAGTTGGATTAATTTGAGCAGGAGGACGCTTTCATCATATGGATTGTCTTTTTTTTTATCGTTCCTTTCTCAGCACGCGTGGTGATAAATCCTAGGAAAGAAAGTTCAATGTCGTTCATATTGACCACGACCACAAGCGTTGTGATATACATCGTATTGTACTACATTGGCTCCCTCTTCATGCGACTCGTCATGGTGCAGGTTGTCGAGGACTCCTTTGCACGCTTTGAGTTCGCTTCAACGTTTGCGGTATCAATGGGTCTTTTTGCGATATTTTTAGGGAATCCCGAGTCGGACAGCACGTGGCTTTCGACCTTGCCGGACGTGGCACCGTGGCCTGTGGCGAGTGCGACCCCTGCGATCCCGACCTCGCAAGGCCACCCCCGGCTTCTCCGGTTTCTCCTCGCGTGTTTGCTCGTTCACCTCTTGGGGACCCCTTTGTGGCTGCTCCATCTTCCCTTTCGCCGGGCTCACACGCGGCGCAGGCAAGGGCCGTCCTTCCCGTGTCACAACGGGGCCAATCCGGACGAAAAGGATCGTTCGTCCCCGGGCCCTACGGCATCGCGCCGGCACCTCCTTTGGCTGTCCTGCGCGGCCTTTTTGTTAGGAGGGGGTGGGGCGGTGGTGGGGGTGCGCCGCTACGGCCTCGGGTGGCTTGCCGGGGACGACTGCGTGCGGCGGGCGGGGGGTCGTGTGGGCGTCGTCGTCTTGGGCGCGCTAGGGCGCGTGTGGGGGGCGCTCCTGGGCATCCCGCGCGCGATCGCCGCCGGGGGAATTCCCATCCCATCCCCGACCCCCCCTGGAGGGCCCGGGGAAGGCGACGGTGGCGGCGGCGCGTGCTCCCCTTCCCTGTGGGTTTGGGCTGGGTACGTCGCGGTGGGGG